AGGGGGAGAAGATTTATTTAGGTAGTAGTAGCATAGAGGTGTTACATTTAGAGAAGTTAGGTGTGCTGTTTGTTCTAGCAGCTATTTTCACCAGGGGGTTATTGGGAAGGGGTGGGGTGGGAAGTGGGGGGCTTACTGTCACTGTTAAAATGATGTTTTTCTTTTCGCTCAGCCAGGATGTATTTCTTTATTTGCCTGATACCTTGACATTCTCTGTTCTGTTTTTTCTTTTTTATTATGAGTAATATGGCAGGCAACTTTAAAATGATTACCTGGAATGTTAAGGGTCTGAATCATCCCATTAAAAGGAAAAAGGCCCTCACACATATGAAAAATTTAGGTGCAGGAATTATGTTCCTTCAAGAAACTCATCTCAATAACCGAGATAGTATTCGTTTAAAGTGTGGGTGGGTGGGGCAGCTTTTTCATTCAACTTTTCAGGGTAAAGCCAGAGGAGTTGCAATACTTATTAATAAAAATATATCATTTACACCTGCAGTGGTGGTTGCTGATCCTAATGGAAGATATATTATTGTAACTGGAAAACTTTATAATGTGAATGTGACATTAGCTAATGTTTATGCTCCAAATTTTGATGATCCTCAATTTTTTTCTCGTCTCTTTAGGCTGCTCCCGAATTTAGATACTCATCCGCTGATTATGGGAGGGGATTTCAACTTATGTCTTGACCCTGTGCTGGACAGGTCCTCGGTTAAGCCGGGCTATATTGTATCCAAATCGGTAACGTATATAAAGTCCTTTCTTTCAGATTATGGTATATCAGATCTTTGGCGTCTTTTGCACCCTCAGGACAGACAATACTCTTTTTTTTCCCATGCCCATGGGAGCTACAGCAGGATTGATTATTTCTTTATTGATAATAAACTAACATCATACATGCAGAACTGTGAATATCAACCCATAGTGGTGTCTGACCATGCTCCTCTCTCAATTGAATTTAGGATACCTGAAGTAGGGGCCCAAAGAAAGTACTGGCGGTTCAACTCCCTCCTGTTGTCTGATGAGAACTTTGTTAAATTTATGTCGAACCAGATCTCCCTTTTTTTAGAAATTAATATGACCCCAGATGTTTCAATTTCTACTGTCTGGGAAGCCTTTAAGGCATATATAAGAGGTCAGATAATATCCTTTGTGGCTAAGAAGAAAAGGGACTCTATGTCCAAGCAAATCGAACTCGAGAGTCAAATCGCAGACCTGGACAGCAGAAATGCACAAGCTCCATCCCAACAGTTGTATAAAGAACGCTGTAGGCTCCGTGCAGAACATAATTTAATTACATCTCAACCAATAGAATATTTACTGCTGAAAAATAGAAGTTATTCATATGAACATAGTGATAAAGCTGGGGAGGTTCTGGCAAGACAACTTAGGGGAGCAAGAGCCAAAATGACAATTGGTGGGATAACAGCTCAGGATGGCAGCATTATCACAGACCAGCAAGGAATAAATAAGGCCTTTCAATGTTATTATAATAAATTATATAGCTCTGATAATAGCTGTAATACTAATCTTTTGCAGAACTTTTTTGGACACTTGCCTATCCCCAACCTAAGCCCTGATCAGGTATCCTCTCTGGATTCACCTATTTCAGAGCAGGAGATTGTAGAGGCAATCAAATTATTACAACCCAAAAAATCACCTGGTCCAGATGGCCTGCCAAATGAGTTCTATGCAGCATTTTCTAAACAACTGGCTCCAATTTTGGCAAATATGTTTAGACACTCCTTTGGTAGAGGATCCCTTCCTTCTACCTTGAATCAAGCCTGTATAACACTATTGCTTAAAAAAGATAAAAACCCCACAGAATGTTCATCTTACAGGCCGATATCATTACTGAATAGTGATTACAAAATATTGGCAAAAGTGTTAGCCTGCCGCTTGGAGCGAATTTTACCGAGTGTCATATCTCCAGACCAGACAGGATTTGTCAAAAACAGACGCTCTTTTTATAATATACGTCGTTTATTGAATATCATGCATACCCCTAGTCAAAATGACTCTGAATGCCTTCTCTCCCTGGATGCAGAAAAGGCTTTTGATAGAGTGGAATGGACCTATATGTTTGAAACTTTGGAGAGATTTGGTTTTGGCAGGACATTTATATCGTGGGTTAAGCTATTGTATTTCTCGCCATCAGCCATGATTTTGACAAATAACTTCTATTCTAAACCATTTAGCTTGTTCCGCGGGACCCGGCAGGGCTGCCCACTTAGTCCTTTACTTTTTGTTTTGGCCATTGAGCCGTTGGCTCTGGCTATAAGGACACAGAGCAATATTAAGGGTATTACCAGGGGTAGGGTGGAGCATAAACTTTCTCTTTATGCTGACGACCTTTTGTTGTATGTGTCTGAGCCAGAACTGACTATCCCTCACATATCGACACTCCTCTCTCAGTTTGGAGAAATTTCTGGGTATAAAGTAAACATGCATAAGAGCAAACTTATGTCTTTGAATTCCAAATCCCTAGACTATATCACAAATAATACACCTTTTGAGATAGCTACTCATAGTTTTGTTTATCTGGGCATTACGATAACAAAGACATTTGAAGATCTTTACAAAAATAACTTTGATAAATTGCTTATTGATGTCCAGCAGGATTTAACTAAGTGGGCGGCCCTCCCCCTCTCTCTAATAGGCAAGGTAAATACAATCAAGATGTCAGTACTCCCTAAATTTATTTACCTCTTTCAGTGTCTCCCTGTTTTCATTCCGGGGGCTTATTTTAAAAAGCTAGATTCAGCCATTTTGACTTATATTTGGAATGGTAAAAAGCCTCGTCTAAAAAAAGCCCACCTGCAAAAGTCAAAGCAAGATGGGGGTCTGGCTCTTCCTAATATTCGACACTACTATTGGGCAAGTAATTTGTATTGTATGTCCTTTTGGGTGTATTATAGTTCCAAAGATGGGGGTCCCATTTGGGTGGAGATGGAAAAGTCCCTCTGCTCCCCTTTATCTCTGCCAACTTTGATCGGCGGATCCTTACCCTTACCTCTAAATCGTATTTCTTCTAACCGTGTAGTCTATAACTCCCTCAAAATTTACTCACAATTTAGGAAACATTTTGGCCTTCATCAGTTAAGTTTTTCTAGTCCAATTGCGTCTAATAATTTTTTTCCTCCTTCACTGCAGGATGCTACTTTTAGTGGGTGGCGAAGTAAAGGTTTAAAAAATTTTAAAGATCTTTTTGTTGAAAACAAGTTTGCCTCTTTTCTGCAACTGTCTAATAAATATGATTTGCCAACCTCGCACTTTTTCAGATATTTACAGATTAGGCATTTTATTGCCTCATCCACTCCAAAATTTCCTGACAAACCTCTTGATAATGTAATCGATGAGCTGATGTCTTTTGATCCAACAAAAACTAAAGCAGTTACTTCTTTGATAAAGATGATCTCTCATTTAGATTCCCAATCCTCTGTCATAATTAAACAATCCTGGGAGCAGGACCTTCAAATTACAATGAGTGAAGCAGTTTGGGCTGATGTTTTGAGGAAAATTCACTCATCTTCAATGTGTGCGAGGCACTCTCTTATTCAGTTCAAAGTGGTACACCGGGCACATTTGGATAAATCTAAACTGGCTAAAATTTACCCTCAAATTGACCCTATATGTGACAGATGTAGGTCGGAGGAAGCCACATTAGTGCATATGTTTTGGAGTTGCCCCAAGATACAGATATACTGGGCTGGTATCTGTGAAGCACTCTCAGCTGTTTTAGCAGTCCATATTACCCCGAACCCATTTATGCTGATATTTGGGATTACTCCTGAAGGATTAAGTTTACCTACGGGAGGAGGGAAGGTAATCGCTTTTTCAACTCTTCTGGCGCGTCGTTTAATTCTTCTTAGGTGGAAGGATGCTGCTCCACCCACAGTGTCAAGCTGGATAAAGGAGGTATTAATTAATCTAAAACTAGAGAAAATCAGGTGTGTGATGAAGGGCTCTGAAAATAGATTTTATAAAACTTGGAAATCTTTTATTACTTTTTTCAATGAACCCTCGACACAGGTCCAGGAATAACACGCTTTTAGGATTTTGGCTGAACGTAGACCCATAAATCTTGATAATGATGTTTGAACTGTTTTAATTGTTTTTGTGACATACCTTGTAGGGGACAGTATTTACTGGGGGGAGGGGTGCTGGGAGGGGGGAGGGGTTCTTTGTTGTTTTTTTTTTTGTTTTTTTTTCCTTGTATGTATGTTGTTTTTATTTGTTTCTATGTGGAAAATTAATAAATATATTAAACACTAAACATCTGACACACGGAGCAAGAGAAAACAGAGGAAGCAGGGAGAGAAGCAGCAACCATGCTAAGCTAACGCTAGCAAGAGCTAGCAGAGCCAAATACACCAATAAAAACCGAGAAGTGTTGAAAGATAAAAGGTGTTTTAAGCACTATCCAACAGTAGATTAACAACTGTACTAAGTGTGTTTGTGAACTAGAATGAAAAACTGTGCAAAAGACAGATAAATCCAGAAAACAGAGACGACTCGAGCAAATAATTCACTCGAGCTACCGGCAGACGAACAGGAAGTGACACAATACGTCTCACCACGAACGTGCAACGTCACACCATCCTCCCCACCCCGACGTCTTCCTCCACCCACTCCATCACACCACCTTGCCCTTGCAGGACCTTGGGGTTCAGGTGCACTACTGAGCTGCGGGGAGGATCCTCCATCTCCGTGGTTCGTGGAGACCTGGGCCCCAATTTTATCAAAAACCTAGACACTCACCATAGGCGTAGCCAGGATTTTATGAGGGGCGGTTCGTTTGAAGAAAAAGTGGACCTGTAGGACTACTCTGATTGGTTCATTGGCGGTGGTACACATAACTTCAAATGTGTAAACAAGCTAATTAGCTAGCTAGTTAAAACACTGCTGTGTGAGGTAAATCTGTGTTACCAAATAGGCGGTTGTGAGTGGAGAAAGAGCAACACACTGAGAGGGGAATAGCGTGTGTGTCCAGTCTTCTATTCAGAACTCATCCCAGACACGAACGAACACTTCGGTACTCCCGAGTCCCGCCCGAACATACACAAAAAAAAAAAAAAAACACCGAAGAAGAATGAAAGACGTCATCCTCTTAAAGGCACAGTACCACTCCTTAACTCTAACAACATAAATGCAAACTAAGCCCGCAAATAATAACATTACTTCAATTGCAAAAATAACTCATCTTTTTACTTTGCTTTGTTAGACATTGTTTTTTATGAATGAAATTAATGAATTGAAAAATACAATACAATCCACATCTACACATAAAAAAATGACACTATAGAGTAAGATTAAAATTTCTCAAGACAAATGTAGTTTTGCAAAACCTTTTTTTTTTACAATGCATAAGACAGTTTTGTCCAACATCTTATATCTCTGGATAGACAAGTGAGTCCAGCTCCATCCTCCTCGAGTGTTTGTTTGCAAACACATCAACAACTCTGTCAAGGTCAATGTGTTTGCTGTAGTGAATGTGAAGTAGTGCCAGTGATGAGAGACGCTCCTTCCCCATTGATGCCCGCATGTAGCTGTTCAGTCGACGAAGGGCACTGGCACTGCGCTCACACTCGCAGGAGGTGACAGGGAGTGTGCAGGCCAGTTGAAGTAGGACATGCAGGTTGGGGTACAGGTCTCGGTCACACTCTTTAATGGAACCTGCAGGGGTGTTCGGCCTCTGTGACCCAGGCACTCTGCCATACCTAGCAGAACAATTTAAACAAAAATGTTCTGTATAGCAATGTTGTAACATTCAATTTCTAAAATGGGCTTCTCAGGTGCTTAACTTCAAAATAACTTACTTCAACTTCCACCTTGTAATCTCTTGGTCAACAAGTTCTGGACTGGGTAGGTCTTCGGCATACATGCTCACAATCTCTGTGGTGTCGAGATGACGATTGCATATCACAGATGGCACTAGTCCCAACAAGGAGCTAGCTGTGGCAGACAGGGCTGAGTACAAGAAAGAAACTTTGTAAGAAACATACTTAAGTTTCAAGTTTTATATGTAATTTTTAACTTATCTGTAATTTTTTAAAATGTATTAAATTTTTATTTGTATGCTCTATGACCTCTGTAATATGTACACAATTGTTCAAAAGTTTTGGGTCAACCAATTAACATGTATTTTACCAAGAAAGCTCACACTTATGTAGTCAAATTAGTTTCAAAATGAAAAGAAAATATGTTCATCAAATTGATCAATTTGGACTGACTAACAGAAATTGTATACATGTATCCTGTCCAAACTAAGCCTGAGGCCTGTAGCTTTTGTTTAGAAAAAACATGGACGCTCCGTTTCAGGCTTCCTGTGATTAACTGTGTCCTATCACTGTAAACTTAGCTTTAGGGATAGAATGGGGGTGACACTGGTACCAATTTCAAATAAATTACTGTTCCCAACATGGCGGAAATAGACAAAAACAAGGAAAAAAAACATGGCGAAAATCGTCGTCACAAACTTAGCTTAGCTATAGCATGTTTTAGCATTATCCCATATCTTATAAAAACGTGACCCACTTCTAATCTCTCTAACATCAAACGGTACTACTTTAAATACACAAATGAACAGTTGAATCAAAAACCACAATGTAATTTTACCGTTTGAATCCACCGTGTTGCCTTCCAAGCCAGGACAGAGTGAACGTCGTCTTCACCTCGCAGTTCTATATCTCGCGGGAGTTGTAGGTGGGACTTCATTGGCAAAGTGGGCGGTTCGTTCGAACCCCCCGAACCCCCCCTGGCTACGCGCATGCTCACATATAACATTCTCATGACACATGCATATATAGGGTCTGGAGTGGGCACATGGTGGCATATAGGGGGTGGGATGTGTAATCATTCTCACCTCCGGGACCTGTGCCAACTCTCATATGTAGCATGTAGACATTTAGGGTTCTGGGCAAGGGTTGGGGGGGGGGGGGGACGGGCACTGCCTGCTCTCTGGGGAAGAGGTGAGTCTGTGCCAGTCGCCACCTCATCCCCCAAATTTTAAACGCACTATATAACAACATGCATCAACATCTTATTTGAGTGGGGGGAGGGAGGACTTGGGTCTTCCAGTTTTCCCTAAACCCTCATTCTCCATCTGACATTTGAGGTCGGGGGCAGGGGGGGGGGTAGGCTGCCTGGTTGGGGTCTGGGCTGTGGGTGGGTATTGGGCCTTTGGGGGCGATTGGGGGTGGGGCTGGTGCTCCGGTTCTCCCTGGATAGTTTGGATCGTTTGATCGGGGTTCCTGGTTCCGATGGCCAGCCCTTTGGCTGGGGTGGCTGCCGGGTTCCGGTGGGAGGTCGGCTGTGGTTGAGTGTGTGTGGTTGTTGGTAGTGCGTGGCGGCAGTCGGGGGCGTGGCTTCACTTCGATGGAGTGCTGGCTGGTCGGCCTGATGTGACATTCATGGTGCGGGGTGCTGTGTGTGTGTGTGGGTGGGGTGGGGGTGGGGTGGGGAGGTGCATGGGTGGCATGCCGGGGCTTCTCCGGGCCTGTGGTGTGGGGCTTTAGGAATGCATTGGTGCACTGGGCCGGCCTTCCTCAGCTGCTGCTCCCTGCTGCTCTGGCCCCCGGCCTGGGGCCGGCTTGCGGTCACTGTTGGGCAGATGGGGCGCATGGACGGCCCAACATAGGCTCTGTCGGGCTGTCTCTGTGTGCCTGTTTGTCTCAGGTTGGGTTTTGGGTGGCCCCCCTCTCTTGGACCAGTTTTGGCCCCCCATTTGGCGGGTCGTGCTCCCCTCCGGTGGTGGGCCCCCCTGCCGCTGGTGCATTGGCAGCTCTCAGCAGCTGGGGCTGGGTGGTGGAGTGTGTGCGGGCCCGCCCTAGTGGCTTCCTGCGGGGGCCTGGGGGCCCTGGCTCTGTCGGGCCTCTGTTGGGGGGTGGTATGACCTCGGGACTAGGTGCTTGGTGTCCATGGCCGGACCCACTCTGGAGGGGCGGGTTGCCGGCGGGGCCTGTTGACTCGTAGCTACAGCCTCCTGGGGGTTTCTGCATTGTGGTTGCTGGGGATCGCCCAGGGCTTCCCTTTGCTTCTCTCTCTGGGGGGGTGCGGGTGTCCCTGTTCGGGGACTACCGGAGTTCCGGGCTTGGGGGCCGCTGTGTGTCTGTGGTTCCTGTCTTCCCTGTGTTACCTTCGTGTCCTGTGGGGATGGGTTTATGGGTCCCCACATCCACTATTGAACATTTTTATGGAGAAACCTTATAGTGACAAGCATGCTCACACAGGTGTTTAGATTCAGGTGTTTATCAGATACACACTCAGTTGGGTTGTGGTGGCCATCAAATTTATATTGTATTAACATGTACTGTATAAAATACTTTCTAATGATGTTATAAGTATCATTATATAAGTTGTTTGTTGTTGTGGTTTCTTGGTTTTCTCTGAGTTCTTTTTCTCTTTCTGCAGGCCTAGAGGCAGACTTCAATGATGTTGATTTGTGTTGTCTTTATCCCTCTCTCTCTCTCTATTCCTATCTCCTTCTTTACATTCTAACTCTTTTCTCACTTTTCTGCTTTGTTATCTTCTTTGTTTTCCGTCCCCGTGTCCATTACATCTGAAACAAACCCAAAGCATATTCTAATAAAATTTAATTTATATATCAAGTGGAGCATTAAGGCCAGCCATAATGCTCTGCTTGTGAATGTAAATCTGTTGGGCATCACTTTGACACTCAGACAATAATTCTAAGCGTCACAATGCCGGACAGGACAAGGGAAAAAAAAAAAAAAAAGATTAGTTTTTATCTTCTGAAGAAGCGGTTCCATATTCAGTAGCATTATTTCCTCTAGGTCCGAGTGAAGTCGTATACCCAGATATTTCATACCCGAGGGGACCCACTTAAAGTTAAATGGTGTAATATCAATTGAGTGACATGTTTGGGATATGGGCATACACTCAGATTTGTTCCAGTTAATCTTGTATCCTGAAAGTTTTGAATATGATTCAACACACTGTAACAGAGCTGGAACAGAAACGACTGGATCTGCTATAATAGCTAAGATGTTATCCGCATACATAAGCAACTTGTGCTCTTTTCCTCCTGCATGAATTCCTTTAATTCTTGGGTTGACTCTTGTCGCTACTGCTAATCAGAATCAGAATCAGAATCAGTTTATTATTGCCATGTCAATGAACGAGGTTCACAAACTAGGAATTTGCTTCGACTTAAGGTGCGAATAGTAATAAAGTAAAATAAAGTAAAAATGAAAACATTACATAAGACATAGGACCTGCGTACACTCACAAATAAAGTAAAAATTAAAACATAACATAAACATGTGTACACCGATACAATAGAAAACAATAAAAAAGCTTAGAAAACAGTACAGATGGAGTATTCAATTATAATACAGATGTAATGTGACCAAAGCAGAAATTATGAGGTAGCATTATGAGTGTTCAGGAGTCCAACAGCAGAGGGGAAGAAACTGTTCTTATGGCGGGAGGTTCTGGTCCAAATGGACCGAAGCCTCCTGCCTGAGGGGAGTGGTTCGAACAGACTGTGTGCAAGGTGAGCAGGGTCATCTGTGATCCGACCTGCTCGCCTCACAGTCCTAGAGACATACAGGTCGTGGAGGGATGGAAGGCTGCAGCCGATCACCTTCTCAGCTGAGCGCACAATGCGCTGCAGTCTTAGTCTGTCCCTGGCAGTGGCCCCGGCGTAGCACACCGTGATGGAGGAGCTGAAGATGTACTCGATGATGGCCGTGTATAACTGCACCATCAGCTTGGCCAGCAGCTTGGCCTTCTTCAGCTGTCGCAGGAAGTACAGTCTCTGTTGGGCCTTCTTGATGAGGGAGCTGATGGTCGGCTCCCACTTGAGGTCCTGGGTGATGGTGGTGCCGAGGAACCGATAAGAGTTTGCAGTGGTGATGGGGGTATCATTACAGGTGAAGGGGGGCAGAGGGTCTGTGGCTTTCCTGAAATCCACAATCATCTCCACTGTCTTCCGGGCATTGAGTTCCAGGTTGTTGCTGCTGTACCAGGTCACCAGCCGGTCCACCTCCCTCCTGTATGCAGACTCATCACCGTCCGAGATGAGCCCGATGAGGGTGGTGTCATCTGCAAACTTAATAAGTTTCACAGAGTCATGGCTGGAGGTGCAGCAGTTGGTGTACAGGGAGAAAAGCAGGGGGGGAAGCACACAGCCCTGTGGAGATCCTGTGCTTACAGTCCGAGTGTTCAAGACAGCTCTCCCCAGCTGCATGCACTGACTCCGGTCTGTCAGGAAGTCTGTGATCCACCTGCAGGTGGAGTCAGGTACATGGAGCAGGGAGAGCTTGTCTTGGAGCTGTTGGATTTAATATTCTATAGTTTTATAATTTCTATCAAGCACTCAAATGTCATGTCACATAAAGGGTGTGCTTGCCAATTCTAACTAGTTGAACTTTAAATATAATCTCATAGTAGCTAAAGATAATTTTACAAGTTCACATTTGATAAATTACAAGCAATCAAATCAGGCCAGAGAGCAGACTGAGTAACATAAATAAAGTAGAACACAGCTCTTTAATTTAGACAATATAGGTTGACTAAGTAAAATCAAATTAAGAGTATAACCATGATCCAAATAAAAACACGAACATAAGTTAGATAATATAATTATTCCTAGAAATAAACAACTATTTCAAATCAGTGTTATCACTAAGGTATAATCACGTTAAACAAACGGTGTTAACAGTTTAAACGCAGACACAGAAACTAAGATGATTCTGCCTTAAAAACAATCACCAGGCCTCCAACAGATATTGAATTAACACCCAGGAGGTAGGTAATAATTAATAGTTATTAATTATTACGTATAAACAATTTAGACACGAATCATTTTATATCCCTAAAGTATAATAGCAAGTTAAACTTTAACAAAAGCCGATTTCGGTGTACCAAAACTTATCTGAAATATAGACGTCAACGTCCTTGAGGGGGCGGGCTAAGT